TGATTTAAAAAATGCAGAGTCATAAAACTTTAAAAAAATTGTGCTAAGGCAAATAAATTTATGTTTATAGGACTAACAGAAATTAGAACAGAGACTAAAAGTGCATTACTTTTCTCTTTATTAATCAAATATATAACTTCCAATAAGTGAAGAGAAAGAATTTGCTTGATGACATCATTCAATACAATAGTCAAAGGAAACCTCTAAAAACTCAAATATGGACCTGTATGTTGACAGCATAGAGCCTGGCACATAGAAGCCGGAATGAACAGTTCTTATGAGAATTAATACTTCTTTTTGTTTTTTAATTTCCTGTTTTGGGTTCCCCCTGGTCACCCTGAGAGAGTTTGGTTCCTGTGCAGTTGGATTTTTAGACTCATGTCGACATTGCTACATAACACCCAAGAAGACAAAGCTTCTTATCAAAGAATCAACAAAGATGTATAGATTTGTAATGAATGGTAATAAAAATTAAAGCCCTACTTTGGGGCAATGACTAATTCCCTGATTTGACTTGGAAACCTTTCAAGAAGAAAAAAAAAAAAAAAAACCAGCGAAGACCAACACAGCAGTCCCAGCCCCATGTCTTTCTTAGGTCTCATTAGTTTGTCAGAGACACAACAGTAGTTCTAAGCAGATACACTATCCATATTTACCTAGTTCGTTTTTCCCCAGACAAATCTATTTCCCTTGGCATCATTTCTGCTCCTCCTTCTATCAGTTGTGGGTGTAAAGTTTGATTAATCAACGCTAAATCCCGGTTTAGCTTTCCCTTGTCTTTAATCAACATCCCAGAGCTATTTGTTAATTTAGCATTTGCAACTAAACCTTTTTTTCCGAGACTCAGAGAATGCTTTATGAACATGAGCCCACACATTTCTGAGAATATTAGAACATTTTCCATGCTATACCATTTTTCTCTTTCAGAGGGCTCTTCTATCTTCCTATATGACAAGAGCTAACTATTTTCCAGATTCTCATTATTGACCCCTTTCTCCATATAATGGGCTATTATCAATCTGATTTTAAAGGGTAAATTCTGCCAAGAGATGACCTTTTCTTTGAAATGACACCTTTTAAACCATAAAATAAGAGAACAACTGATTGGAAACTATTAAGGAGTTAGGTTTTCTTTATGATGACAATGTCATCGGTGACAGAATTAACTGACTGTTATTTCTTTGCCTTCAATTAGATACTGAACGACTTCAGCCAGACCCCTGGGATTCTATTCCTATTAGCTGGCTAAGGTTGGGGAAACTGGTGAAGCATCTCTCACTGTGTAAATTCTTCGTATTTTATGGCTATTGCCTTGAATAACATCTATTAATCAAAGAGAGTGGAGTTACATAGACTGTCCTGGTCTTTTCCCCATTTGGAGCCCAGGGTCCAGGCTCCGGCAAGCGGCTAGAGTTGCCATTTTTCAGGGATTCGTTTGCACAGTGGCCAATTTACCTCGGGGCCTGTGTGGCTAACATTGAGTGAAATAAACCATGGGCATGTCACCGCCTGTCAGCTGTTGCAATTAAGTAATGTTAACTGCCACCACCGTGGGAAGGGGTGGTTCAGAATCATAAAATGTTCGAGGTGGACCACACAATGCTGTCATTCTCTATGTAAGAAAACTGGATGCGGGGCTTAACGGGTTTGTCTAAGGT